ACTAAGAAGAAATACCCAATCGCCGTACTTTTCTGGCCTACATGAAACGCAGGCATTCATACTTTACTTATCTGAGAGCATGAAAGGGAACGCATACAAATTTGTATGCTCAAGTGGGTTTGAATGGAAGTGGTGCAAGGACATGGTAGAGATCCGTAAGTGACCCGAATAGGAAGCAGCCCCAGTCGGATTAGACCGCTTTTCAGTACCATCCCCGGCCTACACGGTCTACCTGAATGTGAAGGAATCGGAGGGAACATAAAAGATGTATGCTGCAAAGATGAATACCATTTGAAGTTCCCAAGAAATCTTCCAACTGAGAACGGATCAAAAAGCTGTGTGAGTCATGGGAATCCATTTAAAGGAGCAGGAGACAGGAGATGGAACGATGATCAGCTGCGTACACAGATCTAGTAGAGCCATCATGTTATTTGCTGAATATCTGCTTGCTTAGGTAGTTGCAGAAATAGTAAGGGCAGACAAACAGAACAGCATCCCCAGTCACAACTCCTATCAGTTAGTGCATTCGTTATCTGTGGGTCTGTGGTCGCACAGCACTATGACCTCACATTGTACATTTTTTGTCCCACTGATGGTTGATACCCTTGCTTCTCACTCTAAAACCTTTTTGAGCACCAAGTTGAACATATTTCTTCCCGAAACTACTTAATAATGTACAGGCCCGAATTCTTCTCGAAATTGGATGATATTGGGGCCCTAACTTTTTCCAAAATTTGGTGATATCATCAAGTGTTTGGTAGTAAAAATGATGATAATAGATGATAAGGAAAAGTATGACAGCAAGTGATAGTATTATATCTGTGGTTTATTGTAAGGAATCACCATAAACCTACTTAGGACTGCTTATTACGATGGGAGTTAAGCAGTAAGGGGGCATTTGAGAAAAGGTGCATTTGTTTCTGATGTTTCTGAGATAAAAATGTCTGTAGCGGATCGAATCTTTCTATAGAAACTCCCTGAATTTCAATGACCTCCTTGAATTTTTACAGGTCTTTCAACTCTTTCATAAAAAACTTTTTGGTCGCACTTTTATCAAAAAATAAACTCAGCATTGACACCACCCGTCACCTGCACTCCTCTTACCCATAAACATTCTATTAAAAGCTCAAATGTATAGGGACTCCTTTTCCCATGAATCTTCTTTTAAAAGTTCAGATATACGGAGAACGTTTTTAGCCATGCGTGCCTGTCTGGCAGATGTGTCACGATCTCCACCCCCAACATCTTGGTAGAATGTTCCCATGCCCACCTTCCTTACAAACTGACGACCAAAAACTTTTCGTTCCTGTTAGGGAGAATGTTTTGGAATGGCGGGAGGCTACATAAAATGTTAAGGTAGGTTTAAGGTAGGTCTCCCTCTTCTATTATAAGTATAGATGCGTTTTTTCTCAGCTGTTCTCAGCTGTTCCCACATCTGGGAGAAGATTCTTCCTAGAAGGATAGGCCTTGGAAGTTCAAAACCTGCAATGCTTTTCTAAATCATTTCTGAGAAAGAATTCAGGGTGAAAGGGTTGTATTGTATTCAAAGGATTGATGCCTGTAATGTCAAATATGGGATAGCACACTGTTTGCTGATCACCCTATCACAGCACCATAACAATAGTTCGATTTATGACATTACGAGGATTTTATTGTACGCAATTCATGTGTGTGTTNGAAGGGTAGGCCTTGGAAGTTCAAAGCCTGCAATGCTTTTCTAAATCATTTCTGAGAAAGAATTCAGGGTGAAAGGGTTGTATTGTATTCAAAGGATTGATGCCTGTAATGTCAAATATAGGATAGCACACTGATTGCTGATCACCCTATCACGGCACCATAGCAATAGTTCGATTTATGACATTACGAGGATTTTATTGTACGCAATTCATGTGTGTGTGTTGAATTCGATTTCGCTCTTTTTGTTTAAGAGCTCTCTTTTTTTGTCGGACATTCAGCCACGTGTGGAATTGCGACATTGCGGTTCAATATTTAATCTGCCGAGCTACAAAAATAAACCTCCAAATTTTTGCCATTTTCGTTTGTTATTTTAGTCATTTTGGCATTTTCATTCAGCAGCCAAAACTAATGACTCTCTGGGATTTTTATTGCGGCTGACTAAAAGGGCAGATTCGCTACAGCATTTGTTTGATGGCGTAGGCTTATATAAATGTAACCACATTTCAAAATGTTCTCGTACCATATGCACCTTCAGAGGCTTTGCTGCAAAGTCTTGCTCCTCATGTTGCAAGTACATAAGATTTGATCAAGCATTATTATCTGATCCGATCAATTATTGTGACCTGATTTTCTGGTTGACTAACT